AAGAGTTTGCTCATATAAATATAATATAATTTATTTTCTCGATAAAATATAAAAAGTTTAGTAAACTGATTTTTTTTACTAAGATCTATCATTCTAATAAACGTATCTAAGTTAGTTGCTGTACAAATAAACTATATAATGATAAACTCTGTGTTTTTGAATATTTTATATTTCATGAAGTAGATGTCTAGGAAGTAAAGAAAACTTAATATACTTACGATTCACTGTAGTAAGAGTGCCTGTTGATACTGTTGTTGCCGATTGTGCTGATCCTGTCAAGCATTGTGAATACCAATCATTATTATATTGACATACGTATGGTGAACAACAAGTTTTTGGACCATTCCATCCAATACCACCGCATTGTTCCCACAGATTTGCACAAGGAGCTACACAATTAAGAAAAAAAGCAACGAAAATTACAGATCGTTTATGTGAATAATTTTCTTTACTTGTCTTTGATAGATTTGATAATCCAATCAACAAAACCAAAATAAATTTTACCATTGCTTATTGTTTCTAAAATATTTACATTGACAACAATTTACATCCAACGCACATACTTACATTGAATTATAAGCTTGAAAAATCGTTTTTTTTCTCTAATGAAATTATTGTTTATTTTTTTCTCAATTTATACCTGACTATATAGCCTACATTCATTTAGACATTCTACTATTGTTCGATACGTAGCATTAATGTACTTTTTCTTATCAAGTACAAAAACATAATACGTTGTTAAACTTTTGATGAGTACGATAAAGTAACTGAAAAAAAAATAGATCGTACTTTTTTTTGCATATTTTGATTCGTCGACATAATTTACTATAGATTGTTTTCATACAGCTTTCACTAGAACATATGTAAATAAGCGAAAGATATAATACATATGCATTACAAAAACAACATACGTTATCGATGTCCTTAGAAATCATTTATTTTTTGTTATTCAAGGACATGAATTACATCCTTTATGTGCGTTTACATTTAATATGAACTGAAGCAGTTTGGTGGTAACATTTATTGGAAATAAACTAATCAAATATTGAAGCATTTGATAATCATCATAATAGAACTTTCGAAAAAACAACATCAATAATAAGTAGACTAATGTTGCAGATCTGATTCTTAAAAAATTTTATTTGTTATCAGATGAATATTTAAAATCTTTTGTCTTCATTAGTGATATGAACTAGCTAATGAAAGAAAACAATTGAGTTGAAAATTATACAATTCACTTTATGATCGTTAACTTTAATTTATTCGTGCTTTTTTTTTTGGTGAGACATATTTGGATACATCATTGATATGATGTAACAATACTCTGTTTATCTGTTTAAAGATGCTAAATAGAAGATAATACAATGAAAATTGATTAATTTGTTTAAAACTAATCATTGTTATTAAAAACAAAAAGTAACACTATTGTTCAAGAGTATTCGAATATTTATTTATTTATTTATTTATTTATTTATTAACACGAAACATATTCATCTATTCAATGAGTGTTTTTTTTATATATAATATTTGCTTTTTTTCTCTTTTCTATACACCTGTATAAACGTTTTTTTGTCCTATGCAATGCATATAGAAATGTATCGAACATGTCCTTACAGTATTCACATATTATCCTTCAATGTACTTTGCTGAAGTGTAACCTTCAAGGTTTGTTTGTGATGCATTGTACTTTTGACAAATCAAAAGTATTTTCTCTCTTTGTTTATTGTAAGTTGTAATTGCGAAAAAATAAAAAACAATATATACAGATTGATGTTTTATTTTAGATTTGTTTTTTCTAGGTATCAAGTGAGTTTGATAAAGGACATTATATTATTCATATACGACGGCGGCACGCCTGTCACCTGTACATATCATTTTCACTATGATGCATGTAGATAAATAAAACCAATTAGATTTTTTGAATAAAGATTTAATTTGTTATATTTATGAAGGTTACGTTCATCAACTATTTTGATTGATAATGAACAATAGATTCTTATTTGTGACAATCAGTATAAGAGATTCGATAACGTATTGCAAATTATGAAAATGAAAAATATGAATAATAGACAATTAATATAGACATAGCTCTTTGATAATCATCGTTCTAAGATAAACAAGCTCCAAATTTTATTTCGAATACCAAAAGACCAAAAATAGATCGATTGAAGCAGAACAATTCGTTTCGTCAGTATTGATTAATTTACACGGAACTTTTGTTATTGAATGTAAGTTAATTTATATATCAATAAAAATTGTATATTATTTCTATATTATAGAACATGATCTAAAAGCAATTTTGAAGTATAGAAAGCAGAAATTTTTATTCTACGGAATATAATAGACATTACCATGGAAACGTTACAGACTATGACAGATCGTCACAGACACGTGAGAAACAGCTCATCATAGACATGAAGGTTATCTTAGCAACGAGATATCACAGACATTGTTGCTATACGATCTTTGATCGTATATAAATAATGTCTCGTGATAATATATGAGCTACTTTCTTATTATATTTCTGGAGAATTAAGTAAACAAACGAGGAAGAAATATGCTCCAAAATAGATAGAATAAAAAAATCTGCGAATGACTTACAAGAACAGCTACATCGTGTTGTACATTTTAATACCATAGGGATTGTACTAACAGGTGTTTTTTAAATTTCTATTCAAAATTAGTATAATTGATCGATTATTTTCACAAGAAAAAATAAAGCTCTAATGTGTAGCAATATTTTCACTATAATCTTTCATTGCTAAAATAGGATATTCTAAATAATAAAAATAAATCGTCTATTTATCATTCAAAATTCAAATAAACTATTTGAAACTCATTATTTAATAAGTTAAAATTTAAGACTTCTCTTCTCAATGAATATCATCGCATTAACTATAGTTTGATATTTTACAAAGAAAAATATTCTTTTGCAACATATTAATAATTTTATTCGACATACAATTTTAGTTGGATACCATTTAAGTCATTGGTTTTGTAGATGATCTTCGCATAATTAATCTAGAATAAAATCGATTACATGAATAATTGTTAAGTTCGTCGTTAGATGATTCATAAATAATATTACTCTTCGTTTAGGAATAACTAAAATTTCTAAGTGCTTGTGTTTTACACTATGATTCTTGAAAATCTATTTTCCAAGAGAAGATAAAAAAAATGAGATATTATTTTTCTCCTTTTAAATAATGCTCGAAACAAATCAATTATGTGACAAACAATTTTATTTAGATAAAAATTCAATCGAACATTGTTACAAACATCATGATGACTGCTGTAAACAATAAATTCTTTTAATCATAGAGGCATAAACTAGAAGCATTTGTTCTTCTTTAGCTTGATTCATACGACAATATAATAGAAAATAATTGATAAACACAGAAAAAAACTTTATCAAATTATTAATTATCTTAGAATATTGAATAATGAATATAAATGTCATCCACATATATGATATTGTTCCGATCGATATCGTCGACTTGTTCTCATTATCAGTGGTCAATGTAGTCAACAATTAGTTCCTCAAATTCATTCATTGTAACAATTATCATCAATTTATGCCTCTTATATGGATAAACAATCAAATGAAGAATGGACCAGATACAAAATCAAAATTATAGCATTTTTTTTGCTATTTCCTTTTATTAATGATTGGTTTTTTATTGTACAATTTGATGATCTAATTGATCGAATAAAATCCAATCAGATTAGTTGAATGAAAATGCAAGAATTATAGTTAATAGATATTTTATAGAGCTACTAAGAATCGAAATGAATGAACAACTGTACTCTCCTCAATCGTTTTTGTTCATTCTTGTTTGATAATCGACGTTGTTCTTTGAATAAAATCTAGTCAAGAAGACAAAAAATAACTCAATAATATTTACTATAATGATCAATGAGCTATAGTTGAAGATTTTGACTGTGGTTTTTCTTGAAGATAACATATTGTTGTGGTATAATCGTAAGTCATTTATACATCGGGAAAAAAAAAGGAAAACAAAGCTTTGAGAACAGAAAATCTGGAATTATTACTTTTGTTTCGTTTTCTTTTGATGAGCGATGCAAAAGTCTTTAAACTAATGTCAAACTCTGTTAGACCATAATACTAACTTTTGAACCAATCAATTTTTTTTGTTAGAAAGAGCAAGGTTTGAACTACAAGTTTTGTATCAGACATATTTTTCCAGAACGAATCTGAGACGAAGGAAAAAGGCTGTATTTCTCAGTTACTTTAAGTTATATAGATCAAACTTGAAGAGAAAATAAACCAAAATGTAGCACATCAAAAAGTCTATCGATATTAGCTTTGAGAAACATTTTTGGATCCACTCTTAGCTCTTTAATCAAAAAAGTCTGGAACACGAAATTTTTGCAAAATTGAGCCATTTGCAAGAACCATCAGTTCACAAAAATATCAGCCATCATCTCTGGAAATCATGTATGAACTGAATTCTTTTCGCGTTATTTGGTCGAAATATATCTAATCGTAGAATTTTAGCAGCAAAAAAAAAATATATGCAATTTATTGATATAAAAACTAGGAATAGATTTAACTTTCAATACATCATTAGAAAGAGCACTATTTATACTACAAAAATTATCATTGAACGTTTTTTCTCATTCCTCTTCTAATATAATAAAAGCTAACAGAAAATAGAAAACGATGTTACTTGATGGTGAAGTTGCAACTTTTTTTAGAGGTGTTTAATTTTTGTTTTTTCTTCAGTTTCAGATTCGTTCGGGAAAAATATGTCTGATACAAAATTTGTAGTTCAAACTTTGCTCTTGCTAACAAAAAAAAATTCGATTGATTCAGAAGTTGATAATATGGTCTAACAAGGTTTGACATTTGTTCAAAGACTTTTTCATCGCTCATTATTCATGATATTTATGAACAACTGGAATAAAATCAATTTCAATTTCTAATATCGTGGATAAGCAATATCATATAAAGACTTTAATATACTTCGACAATCGATTAATAAATTTATTTCTATTAATTCATTTTTCTCAACTACTAATAACTATTATAAAACAATAGGCTATTTCAATAATTCAAAACATTTTTAATTATCTTCATTGGATATTATTTGTAATTGATGCTAATCCACAAGCAGTTGTAACTAAATTCTTTGCCGATATTAGCTTATACTAGAAGTTCAATGAAGTATCGTACATGTTTGCACGGATATATCGTTTGGTTAACAACTATTAGTTGAAATAAATAAATATATATGATTCATATATAGTAGTGGCGTCACAGGGATGCATAGAATGATTGAGCTTTCAGAAAATTTTTAAATTTGGTGCTAATGATAGTCCTACAGTAGAACTGACGAAGCACAATCCCTCTCATGCTGACTAAAAATTCTGGTGCCGCCACTATTCACATATATTTATGCAATGATGATGAATAGAATCTGCAAGATCTCTTGCAACTAGACCTGGACGGTTCCGGTTCGATTCCCAAAATATCACGTGGAACT